AGAGTGTCCACTTTACTGGCTATGATGGCGAAACATTTGAGAGCCCATTTTTCTGCGGATCGAGTCTTTGGTTTCCGTAGCCATTTTTCCATCCTCGCCGACGTCCATCTGTCACTCTTGGCAGAGAACGTAGTTGACACGGAGAGGACTGATGAGAGTACAATCGTCTTCCCTCTCTTGTTAATCACTGAGGGCGGAGTCCGTTTCCTCATTCATTCATTTTTTAGAGCTGTCCTTCGCCATTGGGGTTTAATCCCTTCTCAGCCAAACATAAATTTTTACCAAATAATAATGGGAATTATAGAACTAAACTGACGCCTTAGGCTTAACCTTGGAATCCCTGTTATTCAGTATTGTTATGACTTGGCCAAATCCTCTGGCCAGCAGGGGCACTACTTCCTCAGGGCCAAGGACACCGACCATCATTTGGTGACTATGTTTGCCAGCTCTGGCAAGCTTGTTGATGATGTTATGGTCATTGTCCGCGGTAACTGGGAATTCGACAAGGGCGAAGATCGCCTAGACCCAATGCCCAGGCGAAGAGGCGAACCAAGTGGTCGTTTAACCCCCCACGAATTTTTATTAAGTATTTACCTGGTTCAAATTCTACGTATTTACCGTTTTATTTGTACAGGAAAGGATTTGAAAAAAGTTCTCGTCTCGGCCGACGACGCTATACTTGCGCAGATCAGAACCGCACTCCAGTTCTTTAGCCGTTTGAATCTCCAGAAGCAAGGGATGGTGGCTGTAGACACCCCATTTTTTACTATCCTTGAGACTTGGACATCATTGTTTGAACACTCGATGATCATCCATGTTCGTGTTCGTTTTGAGTTCCCAGAGGTTTCGACCGCGTGCCTTGCCTTAAGATCTCTCTACTTATCTATTTTGTGCTTGGTTGTGGACCAAGTACTTGTGTTTTTGCTTCTGGGGGAAGAGGGTGGCTTGTTGGCCATCCCCTCAACCCATCGGCCAAGGCATGAAGCCATCGGCCTTGTTTTCTTGCCATCGGCCAAAAGTGTTGGCCGATCGGCACCTTTTTTGGTCGGTCGGCCCTTATGTTAGTGGATCGGCCATATTTTCTGGCCAAACCCTGTTCATCTGCTTTTTGCAGATATTTTATGCCAGCTGTGACAGCTATTTGCCCCTTGGCTTAGCTTCTCCAAGAAGCTTTGGAATTGAATTCTATAAGAAGGGAGCTCCTCCTCCATTCTCAGGGGTTCAAAAAATTTAGGGTGGAGTGATACATATAGTTTTGTATCTATATTCTCTTGTTTGTTCTTATTTTATGTTCAAAAGTGTCATTTTGTCTTACTATTGTACACAAACACACACTAGAACACCATCCTCTTGGAGCTGAGGTCCATTGACGTTGATTTTAGTGTTCTTGAAGTGGTTTTGATCAGAGAAAGCTGCTGGAATTGTGTTCTTGAAGGTGGTCTTGAAGGGTGAGCTTTTTGCTTTTAAACCCCCATTCTTGCTTAAGCTTTTAGACATACTTGCTTATTATTTTAAGCTTGACTCTTAACTGATAAAAGTTTTGATTTTTGATGCTTTAGATCTTTGTTTAAGATCACTTTTTGGTTTGGGGTTGTTTACCCCCTCTTAGGCCTTGTTAGGCCTTGTTTGGAGCCATCCCTTTTGGCCTTTGTTCTTGTCTTTGCATGACCTTTCTACCACTGAAATCCAGAGGAATTTCAGTCGTGGAAAGGTAGTTTTGAGGTCTTAAATAGGAGAGGGTCATCCTCTCTCCTTGTTGTCTCATTTGCTTGTATATTTGGCTCACATTGGTAGCATGTTTGCTTAGCATGTTTTAGCTCCATTTCAGCAATTATTTGATGTTATTTCATCATGCTATACCTTTGTTTTGAGTTGGTTTAATGGCCTCTTACATGCTTCATGTACTTGTCTTGCAATCTTCTCATTTGCCTTAACATGCATCTTGTGTTTAGACCATCATGCTTGCATGTTTTGGCTTAACTTTAAGGAGCTTTTAGCCTTGTTTTACCCTGCTTAAGCTTTGTTTTGTATTGTTTTGATCATATATGCCATGCTTTGTATAGCCCTAATGCATCCTAGCTTGTTAGCTTCAAGTGTCCAAGTCACTAGCATGTATTACTTGGCTTATTTCAATGATTTGGCATCATTTGTTATGTTATTTTAGTCCATGTTTAATGCTCATACACTTGCACCTATCACTCATTTAATGCTTTAAAGAGTTGATGTTTTATGCCTCATGAATGGATCATTGCACATGCCTCCATGCTTAGGTCTTTTGGATGCTATCTAAGTGGGTTTTCGGTCTTGTTTTACCATTCCATAACCCTATTTTTCATTGGATAATTCATGCCATGTTTGGTTTTGATAGGTGTAATGCAACACCTCTTTTGTGGCCTTGCATGCCTCATGCTTTTGGTGTTGTGTTCTAGCTTGTGTTGGCTAGTTTCGAGCATGTTTTTGGTCTTGTCTTGACGTGTCTTGGGACTATTTTGAGTGCCCTTGGCCCTTTGGGGCTTGCCTTGCATAGCCACGGTTTGAGTCCCTTGGCTAGCCTTAAGCTTTGGGCTTTCTTGTATGCTTTGCTTTCTTTGTTTGGTTGGTTTGACACCTTTCTATGCATGATTTCAGAGCTTACAATGTGTGTCTCATGTCCATATTTGTCCCTTTTTGAGTGCTCTTGAAAGTTGCCCTCCTATGCCTAGGTGTTGGACCATTTACATGTGCATGTTTGTTTTGCATTTTCATGCTTTCAATTCATAACTTTGGCCACTGATTGGGGCACGTTTAAGAGTTGCCACTTTAGTTTAAGTCCATCTTTGCATGTTGTTGCATGCTTGCTTCATTTTGCATGTTGTTGCATGTCATGTACCTTCACATGTTTAGGTAGTATGCCTATTGCACATTAGTTGCATTGCATGATCTAGTTGCATACTTGTTGCATGCTTGAGTTGTTCGCGTCATGCTTGCATGTTTGCATTGCATTATGTGTGCATCCCTTGTCTCTTGATCAAGCATGATAGAGGTTGAGGCCCCCTTATGTGTTTTTGTGCATTTCATTTGACATTGAATTGCACACTTGGCTCCTTTGGCCATCATGCATTGAAATGCGTGATTGGTGGCCCGAGGGTCGAGAACTACACTCCTGAGTCTTAAACATGATAAGGGGTGTAGCTACAAACATTGTCTTGTAAATGTATTGCCATGCTCTGTTTGTCCTCTGCTACAGCAAAATGAGAATTTTACAGGAAGAAATGGCCAATCGACCATATTCAGTGCCGATCGGCTAACAATGTTTGGCCGAGAGCCTTATTTTTGGTCGATGACCTTCATCTCTTGGCCGATGGCCTCTCAGCATGACCATGAAGTGGTTCTGAAGAATCACAGAGACTTGTGCAGTTTTCAGAAGTGCAAAACAGTGCAAATAGAGGCAACATGAGGCATGGCAACGGATTTCCGAGCGAAGCCGACCAAGCATGCATTTGTTCCTTTTCTCGAGGCTACTTTACTGTTTTCATAGCTTAATTAATTTTTTTAGTTAAGAGTTGTGTAATAATTAATTAGCTTGTAAGTTAGTTAATTAGTTGATTTGTATTTTTCTTTCGGTCTCTCCCTCGAGAGAGTCAATTGGTGTAATAAGCGTGCATGTGTGTGATGCATGTCTTCTAACCCCCATTTCTTTCTCCCTTTTACTTAACTGCTTACAATGGTTAGTTTTAGGGCATATTTAATCTAGCATCCTTATGCTATGCATGTTTGCATCATTCATCTGTATTGCATGCACCAGGCTCGGCGCATCATACTAACTGCATTGTATTTCAATTCCAAATTGAATACATGTTATCTAATCGCATCTCATATGCCATCTTAGAATAGCCTAGCCTATTTTTAGTTGCATTTTTGCACGTGTTGCATTAGCCATCTTAACATAGCTAGGATCATACATTGATTACTAACTAGCTATTGTTATGGCTCGGAGTACACTGTGAGTGTTTATGCGTTAGCATCTTGCATGCGTGTGAGTATCAACATGACAGCATGCTTGCCATGAGGCTAATTGCTTACGTGATATAACTGCCTGAATGCCTGTGGGTGAAGGTTAGATTACTTGAAGTGGAACAATTCATTGAATCCTTGATTTAGCCTACTTGCGAGTAGCAAACTTCAAACCAGTTTTCAAACAACAAATATGCAATGCTTTGTTCCAAATTAGGCGACCTAGTCTATACTTGTGTGTTGTGCGCATCACATAGTAAATCTAGCTAATAACTGGAATAAGAACGCATGTGTTTTCAAAAACAAGATATCATGCTTAGTACAGGCCGATCTTTGATCGGGCGAGCGGGGGCGCTCATTGCATGACCTTCCCCTCTCGTACCCAAGTTCCCGAGCCGAGGCAACTTTGGTGATGACGGACACGTGGCCTTAGGCACGAGTCAAAGTTTCCTAAATTCTCCTAGACTAAAATATTTAGGTGGCAACTCTGTATCTGGCAAAGCAGTCCATGTTTGGCATTTCTTTCGTAAAAATCAGTTTTCCAAAACGATTTGCCGGATTTGGACTCTTTGGTGATTTATCGGTCTTGCATTGCACTTTGCGAGATTAGATTCAGAACCATGACATTGAGTCCGAACTATAGTAGCTAGAGAACAAAACGAGATTCTCCCGGGAGCTCTCCGGCTGCGTCTACAGTGGCCCACATTCTTCTGAGATACGAGCCAACTTACGCTACTTTTTCGGCTACAAATAACATGTCGATTTCGAGGCGTGAACAGCACCTCACGACGCTTATTTTTCTGAGCTTCAAGAACCTTAGGTAGATTGGTCTTGAAGCTTCAAATTCAGAGCCAACAGACGAACAAGCAGCCGAAGGAGTCACTGAGCAGCCGAATCAACCCTCCTTGAACAGATCCAACGGACTAGAGAAAGAGGTTGACGCAGCACTAAATTTGCCTTTTGAAGAAGCCGGCCTCAATCCTCCATCCACTTCTGGCCGAGCAGACATGTCCTTCGAAGATATTTTCACTAACTTAAGAGACCTACCCTACTCATATCCTGACAACATGGCTAGAGAATCGCTTAGTCAAATGGCCAGGCAGAAAAATACCGAGAGGATGGCTGCCCGTAGGAGAGCTGAAGCCGAGCGAACTAAACCTCCACCCCCTCCACCCGACGCTAGGGTAGAATCTTCTCCACCTGCTCCTGTTGAGGAGACGATTCAGATTGATGTGGCCGAAACGGAACCTGTTATAGATCAACAGGAGGGTCAAGTGACGGAGCACAGGGGAGAAAAACGTCCGGCCGAACACGAAGCCGATTATTCGGAAAACCTAGTGGATAAACAGCCACGCGTGGAAGAATCGGACCTGGTTGTGCCGTTTACAATACAACCAAGGATAAAAAAAATGTGCCGGTTGCTTCTGATGCATTGGTCATAAAAGACGCCGCTGTGCCCTTGAGCTTGGCCTCCTCCATTTGTCTGCCGGTTGACAGAGAAACCTTTAGGGTAGAGCCTGATCTGCTGTCCATCACATTAGCCGCTCAATCGGTGATATTGGTACATGATCCTTGTTTATAATTTTGCAAGGCTAAACAAGAGAAAAGTTTTTTATATCAGCTAACTTACTGATTCCTTGTTTTGTAGGCGTCGGGAAGGATAGCTGAGATTGGTCGTCACCAACATGACGCTATCGAACATATCGGCTTTCTCACAGTCGAGGCAGAAAACGAAAAGGACAAGGCAGCAGAGGCCTCTCTCAAAGCCGAGTCTGAGGCCATGAAAGCGGCGGAAGAAAGAGCGAGGGCCAGTGCCGAAGCAGATAAGGCCAAGACTGCTAACCAATTGAGATTAGCCGCCGAGCAAAAGGCGAATGCTAGCAAAGAAGTGCTCAAATTGGCCAACGAGACGATTGCCAAGCTGGAGGCCAATTTGGAGGAGTCGAAGAGGGCGATGGCGAACGCCGAATCCGAGATTTCCAAGTCATTCCAAGTTGGCAAGAATGCAGCCTTGGAGAACTATGTCAAGGAAATGCCCAAGTTCGAGAATAGGGGGTTCAAACACGGCTGGTTCAAAGCCTTAGCCGCCGCTAACGTGGTATCGGAGCAGCCGATTCTATACGAGCAGGTAGACATTGAGCCGCTGGAGTCTAACCCTGAAGACTGACCTAGGGTCAAAGTATATTTCATTTTGTTTTGGTATCGTGTGTATGTAGGTTTTGTTAGATTTGTTAAATTTTTCACTATTTATTTTTGTGTGAAGCTATCGTAGGGTAGTTTTCATTTCCAAAGTGACTTCTGTTTGTACTCAGTTTATGAATGAAGATTGCCTTTGCCTTTCTGCCTGATGCATGTGCTTGTTAATCTGCTAAGTAAGATGTAAAAACATGAATGGAACAAACTACTGAATTAATTCAGCGCTAAAATAACTGCATAGTACTGCTACTTAGCCGAATAGATTAATGAATATGCCCTTGGCCCAGCAAATTGATGAACAGGACCGCCGAACGGCAGTTCACGGATTGGCTAGGGCACAAGAACATTTCGGCGCATAGCCTTGATATTTAGGCCGAATAGATTAATGAATCTGCCATTGCCCCCAGTAAATTGATGAACAGGACCGCCGAACAATGGCAGCTCAGGGATTGGCTGAGGCAGAATAACATTTCGGTGCACTCTGATACTTGCGCCGAATAGATTAATGAATCTTCCATTACCCCAGCAAATTGATGAACAGGACCGCCGAACGACAGCAGCTCAGGGATTGGCTAGGGCAGAATAACATTTCTGCGCACTCTGACACTTATGCCAAATAGATTAATAAATCTTCCCTTGCCCCAGCAAATTGATGAACAGGACTGCCGAACAACGACAGTTCACAGTGCAGAGTATTAAAAGGAACACTTTGGGAACACTACACTCACAATGAATAAGAAGGGTGGCGGCTGCGTTCGTTTATGGTCCATATTGGTGTCCAAATTTGGCAGATCACAGGAGGGAGAAGAGTAGTGGGCTTGAACTAGATGTCTAGAAGACTAAACTTCAACAGCAGATGAGAGGGTAAGACACTGGCTGAGCTAGATTCAGCGATGAATCGAGGTGGCGAACCGTTGCGAACAGGAAGTAAGACATCGGGGGAGCGCGAAAGGCGTCATTCTCCTCGTTGTTGAAGCAGGTCACCTAGAAAGGAAAGGCAACAGGGGGGAATTCCCCTCGCTCGCGAAGTGAGACCAGTGGGGCACCACGCCCGTTGAGCTTTTTAGTCTTCGTAGGGAACAAATCGATGACAGAGGCGGATTCGATCATCCGCAATCCAAACGTGGCAGTTGAATTCGCCTAACAGATTTTTTCGCCGGAAGTCCAGCAGTCGATGGTTGGGCGACCTGATTTTGAAGTTTTTCAGGAGGGCATCTATGGAGCAGTGAAAGGGCTTTATACGTCATATGAAATCGGCATGTGTCTCTGTGCCGTGCGACGGGAGATTGAGCAGAAAGATGAGCGCATTCAAAACTTAGAGGCGTGCGTAAAGAGAGCCGAGCGAGAACTAAAACAGGCAAAAACTGTCGGGCAACATGCGGTAGGTCAAGGTAACCTAGTTGTAGAGGAAAGGGTGAACCAACGGCTACTAAACCAGGCCATTGCCGACCGAGATATGACGAGCATGTTCGCTAAAGAAACGATAAGGACAAAGGTCTGTGAAGAGGGATTTTTTGACAGTCGGAAGATTGGTATAGAGAAGACGAGAGAAAAGCTGACCGAAGAGGTCTGCCAATGCGAAAATTGTGGATTCAAGCATGGGTGGACCAAGGCTCTACAGGCAACGGGCATTGATTCGGCGTCACCTCCATATCAGAGTTATAATTTGCCCTTCACGACTTTTGAAGCCAAGAAAATTGACGATGAGGACGGTGCCGAATAATAGATTTCTCTTCATTTTTTTATTTTTTTATTTTTTTTTTATGCATGTATTGAATGAAATAGATCAAAGATGTGCATGACCTATTACAAATTTGGTGTGAATTATGTATTTACAATCTATTGAATGAAACATCTTATTTTAAATGTCTATATTGTTTCAATTGTTGTTCGTAAATTAAGTCATGACCATCGATTACTGTTAATCGCGTTTGCGGCGACCAACTGCGATGTCAACGAAGCGCTTCGATTCTGGATGTTTATTTGGCCCAATCGTGACATACACGGAAAGGGCTCCAAATTCGGAGGCTTTTATCTTGGCCAACCGTGTTAACCACGAAGGCGCTCTGAATTCGGAGCTTTTTATTTTGGCCAATCGTGGTATCCACGAAAGGCGCTCCGAATTCGGAGGCTTATTTGGCCCAAACGTGTCATTCACGGATGGGGCTCTGAATTCGGAGGCTTTTATTTTGGCCAATCGTGGTATCCACGAAGGGCGCTCTAAATCCGGAGGCTCATTCGGCCCAAACGTGTCATTCATGGATGGGGCTCCGAATTCGGAGGCTTTTATTTTGGCCAATCATGGTATCCACGAAGGGCGCTCCGAATCTGAAGGCTTATTCGACCCAAACGTGTCATTCACGGATGGGGCTCCTAATTTGGAGGCTTTTATTTTGACCAATTATGGTATCCACGAAGGTGCTCCGAATCCGGAGGTTTATTCGCCCCAAACGTGTCATTCACGGATGGGGCTCCAAATTCAAAGGCTTTCATTTTGGTCCGAATTCGGAGGCTTTTATTTTGGCCAATCGTGGAATCCACGAAGGGCGTTTCGAATCCGGAGGCTTATTCGGGCCGAACGTGTCATTCATGGATGGGGCTCTGAATTCAGAGGCTTTTATTTTGGCTAATTGTGGTATCCACGTAAGGCGCTCTAAATCCGGAGGCTCATTCGGCCCAAACGTGTCATTCACGGATAGGGCTCCGAATTCGGAGGCTTTTATTTTGGCCAATCATGGTATCCACGAAGGGTGCTCCGAATCCGGAGGCTTTTGATTTACCGTACTAAATTTCACATAACGAGGAAATAAGAGGCCTTGCATTGTAAAAATGAAAGTTGTACACGGCGAATATTCAAAACAAGTTATCATGCCCCACAAGTCGGGTTAATGATAAAATTTACGCAAATGAGTGGAATTCCAAGGGCATGGCAAACTTCTCCCAGACATGTCTTTGAGCCGGTATGCCCCTGTGCCGGCGATTGATTCAACCTGATAGGGGTTGTCCCAATTGGGACCTAGTTTTCCATCAACGGGGTTCCGAGTAGCGAGAAGAACTTTCTTGAGGACCAATTCTCTAGGTATATAACATCGCAGCTATACGCGTTGATTATATGATTTAGCGAGCTGCTGCTGATACCGCGCCATAGATGCGAGGGCACGGTCTCGGCGTTCCTCGATCAGAGTCAGATCCAATGCTAACATCATGTCATTACCGCCCAAGTTGAAGACCTTCGTTTTCAGAGTGGGTAAGCCAATCTCCAGGGGAATAATTGCCTGGGTTCCAAAGCATAAGGCGAACAGCGTTTTCCCAGTGGACCACCTTGGTGTAGTGCGATGAGCCCACAACACACTGGGGAGCTCTTCGACCCACCTGCCTTTGGCTTTCTCCAACCGTTTCTTGATGCCTTCCAAGATGGCTTTGTTAGAGGCTTCAGCTTGACCATTGCTCTGTGGATAAGCCGGGGTGGAGAAATAGGGCTGAATACCATACGTGCTACATAATTCTCGGTAGACGCCACAATCAAACTAGGTGCCATTGTCTGAAATGAGTGCTCTTGGAATGCTGAATCGTGTTATGATATTTCTCCATACAAAGCGCTTAACATCAGTATCTCGAATATGTGTTAATGCCTCAGCTTCGACCCATTTTGTGAAGTAATCTGACGCGACAACGCCGCTAAAAGTACTAAAAACGTCGCTAATTCTTTTTATGACGTTTAGTACCAAACGCCGATGACGCGGCCGTCGCTATAACTTTATGACGTTTGAAAAACGTCGTTATATTAGTATAGGCGGCGTTTTTAAAACACCGCCAAATGTCCTACCTAACTGTACTATGACGTCACTATGACATTTAGCGACGTTTTTTAAAACGCCGTCATAGACATTTATATATTTTTAAAATCTAACCGTTGGGGTGAGATATAGTGACGTTTTTTAAACGCCGCCATAGCCTTTTTTTTAATTTTTTAATTTTACATGGTTGAACAAAAAAAAAAAACCTGTCAAACTAATAATTGATGTTTATTAAAATAATAAATAACTTTCTTTCGCAGTTTGTGAGCCTCTTTCTTGTCTGCTAGGAGCTGTTCAGAAGATAGGAATGCAGTGATAGGGTCCATCCAACTTGGACCTGATTCTATGATATTGATCTGAATTGACTCCGAAGGGGCAATGCTCGACTCAGGGATGAATCCTACTTCAATTGTCCGTTTAATTTCTAAGTTGATGGCGGAGGCTAGGCAAGCCAGGGCATCTGCATGTTTGTTCTAATCTCGGGTTATTTGATTCAATTCATGATGGTCGAATTTTGCCAGCAAAGAATTCGACGTTTTCATGTAGGCTGCCACACAGTCATTTTTGGCCGTGTATTCCCCCTTTAATTGGTTGATGACTAGTTTTGAGTCACAGAAGATAAGCAGACGCCGAGCACCAAGGACAAGTGCATTCCGTAAGCTGGTTAATAATGCTTCGTATTCGGCCTCATTGTTCGATGCTTCGAAGCCCTGTTTGACAGCCTGCTCGATTATTGCCCCGTCAGGGGCCATGATCACTACGCCCGCCCCACTGCCACGTTGGTTGGATGACCCGTCACAATACAACTGCCAAATGTCCCCAACATAAATTCTTCAATTCGGCTTAGGTTGAATTTCATCAGACTTAAAGTCGGCGAGACACCCAGTGAATTCGGCCACAAAGTCGGTGAGCACTTGCCCCTTGATTGAGGTTCTGGGTAGAAATTGGATATCGTACTGGCTGAGTTCGAGAGCCCATTTTGAAACGCGCCTTGATGCTTCCGCGCTACGGAACACTGACCGGAGGGGGTAGTCTGTTAGTACCCCAATGGTATGCCCCTTAAAGTAATGCATCAGTTTTCTTGCTGCCATGACGAGAGCAAGGACGAGTTTTTCCAATAGAAGGTAACATGTTTCGGTGTCAACCATTTCTTTGCTCACATAATAAACTGGTC